CCCCAAAACCCCAAAACCCCAAAACCCCAAAACCCCTTAGGAAGTAATCAGGTTGAAAATAATTTTTTCTGGAATAAATTTTTCACATTCTTCAAGTTAAATTTTGATTTTTTGTAATTTTAGTAATTAACTATTCTTCTGTTTGATAAAACTCTTTGCATTGCCTCTGTGCTGATAGTGCAGGAGATAGGACAGTGGTCACTCCCAAATATATCGTTCAGAATATTTGCTTGTTTTACTAAAATTTGTTTTCATGATCTTACTTCCTGAAAAGGCAGAAATCTCTTTTTCAACAAGGATGTAGTCATATCTCCTACCTAGGTTTCTTTTACGCATTTCTTTGCCTCTATAGAGAGTTATTCATCAATGATTTTCAAAAGCTGAAGATTATCCAAAGCTGAGCTATTTTAGCTGATATCTCAATTCCGGAGTAATAGAATTACCTGCTACTCCACCATGTAAAATTAGGAACTTCTGGGTTCATTAATCTGAATGTATCGACCATTCTGAGCTCTTTTAGAGTCTTGGTGAATGAACTCCTTTCTATAAAAGTATATCCAGGAGATCCCTCGCTGATCTTAGGGTTATGAATATCTATTGGCTCATGGCACACATTGAAATCTCCTGCAAGAAAGACTAGTTTTCCCGTATTCTTGAGCTACAGAATTTAATCTTAGAGCAAGACTACCTCTTGACAATATTTCCTGAATGCGTTGTCCCATTCGAAGATCCTAGAATTTGATGATATTCTTACCTGTATTCGAGCCTTCTACAGTCTTCCATTGAGTTTGGAGTGTAAACTGATCCCACGAAAAAGTCTTCAAACTCTATGTAAAGTTCATGGACTGATAGAGGGATTAATTACCACAGGTGAGGATTCTTCCTTCAGCATCATTCTCTGGTGTTCCAAGACCATAATATACTTTCTTAGGGTAAAACTTGGAGAAAATAGCTGTTCCTGAGTATCCTGCATGAGGAGATTTGCATCAGTTGTAAAAAGAGATGTATTTGTCACTAATAACGGGGTCTAATTTGAACTCTTTGATCTTATTTTCTCAAATTTTCGTCTCACTATGTTGACAAGTAAAAGGGTCCTACTTGAATCAAACAATATCAGGATCTGATTCTTCAAAGTATTTTTGTAAGGTCTTTTTCCGGATTCCTGCCCTGATTCCATTGACATTCCAAGCGTCTATCTTCAGTTGGGGTGTGGTGAACTCTCCCATTTTGTTCTTCAACTGAAGATATTTATTAGTCTTTCTCACAATTTCGCTCTTTAAGGAGTAATCATCTCTACGTAAATTTTGGTAAAAATTATTATGATAGAATATTGCTTAAATTTATAGCAAACAAGGACTTACTCGCTATTCTGGATCATTTCTGTAAAAATCCTAGTCTTCTCAATAACGTCAGGACGCTTTGTTAGTCTCTTGGCGCTTGTAGTAAACTCTCTAAAATGCATTAATATTTTTGAAATTAATTACTAATTTCAGAACTGTTCTTCTATATATCTTACATAAATAGGGGTTTTGGGGTTTTGGGGTTTTGGGGTTTTGGGG